CCACACTGCTGTTTTTAGCATGCTAGCTTGAGCAGAAGTGTGTGCATTCATCTACCCAAGGTGAGAATTACACATCCCAGCTGTAAGGGGAGACATACTTTTACTTAGAAAGACCCTAGTTCTGGATTCTCTGATTCTTTGGTAAATTTGTTGACTAGTGCCTAAATCAAAGCCAGCCTTTTTTTATGAAGTCTTTGCACTACGTTAAGTGCTTCAAGTTAAACTGTTGCTAAGGAAACTGAGGTTTGGGAAGAAAGAACTGATTTTCATCTGTTTTGTCAGAACCTGAATTTGTCTGTCACCTAAGTATAAACATGTTCTTGATTTGGAGCTTAAATAGCATTTAACCTTCCTCCCCCTGCCTTTTCATTGTGTTCCAGGTCCCTTCAGTAATGTGAGGTTTCACTACTATCTTTATCCTTTATTAGCAAACACTGATTTCTTCTCCCTATTCACAATATCTTAATATGCAGCAGAATTCAACATGGCCCTCTCCTGTTTACTTCCCTCATTGTATGCTAGCTCCATCAATGATACCTGATGGAATTCACATAACCATGCAGGAATTGTGCTCATTCTAGTTAACTTCTGATGCCCAAGAAGTTCTCATTCTGATTTTTAGGGGTTCACATTAAAAATGGAGGAAGTTGGAGAACAACCCAACTCTTTAAAGATATTTAAAATCCTCAAGGGTATTCTTCACCAAATCTGTAACACTTTCAAGAGAGTCAGATCTAAGTATGAACTAGTATTTTGCTGAACTTTTTTTGTTTTTGTTTTTTTGGCTGTGAGTTCATCTATTTTTGGCAATACAAGAAAATAAAAACACCTTTGCAAAAGAGTTCACAAATAAGTTGTCATTGGTATTTTGAATTGGTACTAGTGGAACCTTCTTATCTTCTATAGAATGTATTTGAAAAGACTGGCTGTAGTAACCCTGATATCAACAAAAAGTTATTTGAAATAGAGGAGAGAGAGAAGCCCCTCAAACCTCTTTTGGGTGGGATACAGGAAAAGACTATTTGTGTTCATCTGTCAGATAAATTGACCTCTTTTTCTTTGACTTTCATCCTGTTTCCAATATTGGAGGGCAACCCTGACATCACGCAAGAGACAAAGAGCACAACACTTGTAAACACGAGGCCACGCCTTTAGATTTACACTGTCTGCATGCACACATGCACGATCTCAAAGAGAAACTCTTTGAAGACTGTGGCCAAATTTTGCACTGACTAATGCCCCAGACAACCTCATTAAAATCAATGGGATTGCACGGGGCTCAAACCCAGTGCAGAATTTGGCCCCCCAGAGTCTAGTGTCTGTACTGGAAATTACTGCATTTTTCATTTGGTTTGTTAGGACAATGCTCTTTTGCTTAGCTCTTTTGGGTGGGGACAGTTCGTAACTGGCAAAGACCAAGCCAGATCCTGCTTTAACTGATGGGGAAAGACTTTGAATCCAAAGTCAGACATTGAACAGGTGATTTTTTTGGACGAGTTTTCACCACTCTGCCTCCTGGACTTTTGAAGGGAAATTTAGTCATAAACCTAAAGAGCTCTGTGGATTCCCCAATCCTAAAAATAAAACAAAGCCCATACCTTTGACTCTCGGCAACTACTGTCCCATCTTCCTTCTCCCTTTCAACTCATTATATGTGCGATCTACAGCCATTGCCTCCAACTCCATCCTTGGTCCCCTCTACTCTGTCTCATGCTCTATATGAAATAGCTCTCACCAGAGTCCTGGTCTTCTTGACACTCCTCTCAGGCCCATTCAGAATGTTGCTTCCTAAATCATCCATCTGCCTGGCTTGTTATTATGATCCTATTACCCCATTTTCTGACTCCATCCACAGGCTTCTCTTTGTCCAGTGCATTCCATTACAAGTTTCTAGTGCTTACCTTTAAAGCCCCGAAAACGTGGTTCTCCCTGCAGAAAAGGGAGTTGTATGTTTTGTCGTCCCCCTCCCCGCCACTATGCTTCTACCAGTCTCCATCACTTGTTTTCCCATTTCTCCTATGAGATACCTTGTTTCTTTTATTGTCCTAACCCTCCTTTTCCCTGTTTTTCTCATCCATCTGTTGTCTTTTCCGCAGAGGGGTTCTCTCTTCTTTGTCACCTGTAGAATCCCTGGCATAATGAGGCCCTGATACTTGACTGGGGGTTCTTAGGTACTGCCATAATAGAAATAAAATCCACAAGCTTTCCTCCATTCCATATCTTCTGCACAGAACACCCTCTGTGAACTAGTCCATAAAGCCAATACCTTCTCTTCCTTCATGTTCCTCTTCAAAATACTTCTGTCCTGAGGCCTAAGGGGAACTGCCAACTGATAATAGCTAGGTAGATGGCTAGTAGGGACTTCTGTTTGCTCTGTTCTTTGGCCTATACAGTAAACACCTGATCTTTTTATTGCATCACTTCCCCATTCCTTCTCGTTGGTTATTATACCAACTTGTTACGACTTATCTGAATTAGACTGTACGCTCTTCCAGGCAGGGCCATCTTTTGTTCTATGTTCATGAAGCACCTAGCACAATGGGGCCTTGATTCTGATTGCTGTTTCTATGTGTTACCGTAATACAAAAGAATTATTTTTTTTAAAAAAAAGAGGAAACATTGCTAACAACTGGGAGCCTGTTCTTCTTTAAAACATCTTACTTAAAAACTTAATAGATCTCGAAGCTGTTAGGATGTGTCATAAAACAGCTTGCTTTTCAAAATTCCATTGAAATTCCTCCATCACTCAAAACTTATCAGGCCTTTAAATCACCAGGTTGGTCAGCAGGATTTTTCCTTTTAGCAAAGTAACAATTTCCCTGTTTAAATGAAGCATTTCCCATGGCGTGCATTCATTTACCAGTAGATAAAGTTTGTACCGAATTCCTCTGAAAGAAGTAAACCCTTCTCCCAGTCCAAGGAGTCAATATCAGAACTTTAGCAAGGTCAAAGGAAATGGACTATATATACAGTCCTTTTTGGTTGCTGGAATATCAGAAGTTGACAACATTGTTGGGCCAGCTCTTCAGCTTGTCTTCAATGGATTTATGCTGAAACACAGTAGCTGCAGATGTGGTCCAATGTCTTTTTGCCCAAACACTATAGAATAACAAAAACCCAAAACCTATTTCAGAAAATACTTCACTATACCACTGCCTTGATGATAATGTAGTGTCTTTCGGATTATTTAGGTATTGCTGAAGTAGTTTGAATGGTTCTTCATAATGAAAGGCTTAATATACTAAAAATAAGACTTTTTCATAGGGTTTATTCAGATCTCATTTTAGTACTGAAAATATTATGGATTGTGGTCAGTTTTTAAAAAACTCAATGGTCTCTTTGGGGAGTGGAGAAGACAAGTGATAATCTTTAGCCTTCCCAGGACCGGGCAGCTCATTTTTTCTGCCATGGTAAAGATTAAACCACTTCTGCAGCTTGGATGACATGATACAATTGTTCTAGGGCAGTGAGCGTTAGCTGAATAATTCCTTCTGGCCTTTCTCTTGCTCTCTAATCTTTGGTGTCTTGCCAAAACTTGAAGGTGACCTGCAAACTTTTTTCTAAAAAAGATAATGGTAGTTATTTGCTGAATGCCCCAAATATCAAAGAGCAGGAGGATGTTCTGCTAATAATTGACTGTAAACTAATTTGAAAACTTACAAAACTGATTTCAAGGTCCTGAGGTTGCTCTCAATCACTATGGATACCCAGTATGCATTGCTCTGAGATATTCCAAACAAAAGGAACTTCACTGGAGTGATGGAGATGCCCCTGGGGGTGCAGATTAATGTTATTTTTTAATACATAATAAAAACAGGGTGACCCCGGAGTGCCCAGTTTATTACACCTCCAGTGGAGTCCCTGGTATATTTGATATCACAGATCTATGTGCTGTGGCTTCAAAGTGACTGGGAGCTCCAAGAGCAGTATTAAGGACCAGAAATAAATTAATTTGAAAAAATGGACAGTTATTTGCTGAATGCCCTTCTGCCCCTTGCTCCTTGAGACATTCAGAGTGAAATTCACTCCGGTGGGTCAATGCAAAGAGGTCCGACTGCAGCCCTATTTTGAGGATTTAAGTGAACTTTACAGTGTATGTAGGCTTTGTTCTTGCCCACTGCATGAGGATGATTTTCCCTCACTAAATGACACCACCATTGTTGACACCACAAAATATGGTCCCCTGAGTGACTGACCTTAGGGGCTGAGCATATATAGCTAGGATTTCTTGCAAGTAGCCAAAGCACTTTAATATCCAAGTTTATTTTGTGAGAGGCCCTCATCAGCAAACTATTTGAATTGGACAGGATATAATTATTGGGCCAGATTTATGAGTGCTAGCAGCTCTAAACTACACCTTGAGTGGGTATTCATCCCAAAGGAGGACTGCTCTCTTTTGTTTGCAGCCGGGCCTCAATATAAACCCCACCAGTGAAGGCTGCTGAGGGGATGTGCCAAATCAACACATTCCCTGGTCATGGCCCCCTCCCTGGCCCGTGCACCCACTTTCTAGGCTATGCTGGTCCCTACACAGTAGCAGAGGAGTAGTTATGGCCACTTTGTGCAGCTGAAACCTCTCGTGGTAGAATTTCTGCACCAGGTTCTTGCCAGTGGCATAGGCACCAGGCTCAGTTTAACTCCGCAGTTCCACGTCTCATAACAGGGGTCTGGATCCTTTCTTTGGAAGGAAAGTATTTCATTAATAGTCAGAAGGCACCCAGTGGCCTTTGGTAACTCAGCTGAACCCCTGTGAATCAGAAAGACATTTCTTAATGTGCATATGTGCCGGGGGAAAGCAAGTAATTGTGCATCGGATACAGAATAAATCTGGAGTTTATTTGTCCTGGGATTTATCTTATTTTTATTTTACAGTTTCATCCACCCATGTGGCTTTGCTGAATTGACGTGTCTAATCTAACATATGGATTAGAGTCCCTGAAATGTTATTGTCCCAATACCCATGTTGTTTACTGTGTCTTGTTTTTCTTCTCTCATTACAGTCATTCGAGCCAAAGTGGTGGGGAAGAAGCTCATGAAAGATGGACCTTTTGGAACGATGCGATACACCGTCAAGCAGATGAAGGTTTGTGTGTAGGCACCTCATGCTAGGTTTAGCTTCCAAGGCAATTCTAGTTACTTGCTGATCACTAACACTGGTTGCTTTTAGGATCCAGTCCTGCTAGTTACTGAGCACCTTCAACATCCATCGTGATTAATGGGAGTGGAGGGTGGTCAAACAATTTACAGAATCACACCCTCAGAGATTGAGAGAGAGAGGCAGTAGGCCATGCCTACCACAGAATGCTGAGTAGTTAGGATTTCCCTTTATTCTTAACACTTCGGGTGGTGAAAGATGCCAGAGTGACAGCTCTGGATACTGAAGTCCTGTTTATCCCCAGCAGATACAGTGTAGGCAGCAGAAGTGCAGGCTTCTCTATGTGGCACTACCAATAAGCTTCAGCTCTGTTCTAGTGGGACTACGTATCTGGGGATAGGTCATTCAGCCTCTTCTTGTCTTGGCTTCTCTGCTGAGACCGCCAACAAGCGTGTCAGTTAGAATGGTGGCAGTTATATGGATACTTGTCCAGTATGAGCCAGACTGAGAAAGCAAACATGCTTCACAAAGACCACTCAGCACCTTAGGGAGAGTAGCTTTCAGACACTTTCAGCCTGGGCTAGATTTAAATGGGTGACTTATAGGTGACGAGAGGTACATTTCATTACCAGTCCCCGAGGTTTCCAGTTCTAGCCCGTCCACCCACACTTCCCCCTGCGCCAAGCCATATAACTAGGGTTGCAGATTTGTCACAGCGTTTATCAAGACTCACAGGAAATTTTAGTCAAACCCATAGGTTTAGTGACTGCTCTGGGATGGATTGATTTTTTTAATTAAAAAATGACTTGACAAAGGAGGGGGCACTGACTACTTACAGCAACAGCCTCTGACCCGGCACCCAGACCATAAGGCCTCAGGAGGACAGCAGGGCCCTAAAGAGTGACCCCACCCCGCACTTGCCACAGGCAGCTTGTGTGTACCCCAAGGCGGGACCACCAGCTCCCCAGTGCAGGTGCCATGACCTAGTGCATGGGGCCGAAGCACCACTCCCTCAGGTTGGGTCCTGCTGCCCCTCTGCCACAATTTGGGGAGGGATGGGTGACTGGGTCACATTTGAGTAAGTGGTGCTGTGACTCCAGGTGCCAGGTTGTAACACCCAAAGCAGTCCTGCTTTGCCACCCCCCAGCTCTACCTGTGTACCTCACCGCCAGCCCTATTCAGCATCTGCATGCTGCAGCCCATGGCCCTCATGGGCTTAGCCCCATGGGACACAGGAGCCAACACTGTGGGGCAAGTGAGAAGCAGACTCACCCCCTAGAGCCTTCCCTCTGCACCAAGAAGGTGACTCACCTAGAGCCTCACTGCAGGAAGTCACGGATAAACAGAAATGGTACCCATAACCTTTTCTGCACCATGATGAACCTGCAGTCCTACTTATAGCCAAGACAGATTTAACTTAACCTGTTGCTTTGGCCTTTTTTATTTTTTTTGGCCAGCTGACCCCTTGTTATGTAATGTTAAAAAATCAGCCCTAGTTTGTTTTTCTTGGCTCAAGCGTTCCAGTCATAAGACTGGTTTATGTCTTTTATAAAAGAAAAAGAACGAAAAGGCCTTGGCAGCTGTTGCAGAAATCTGAAACATATTAGACAAAGTAAAGGTTCAGGAAAATGTGCCTGCCTTGTAACAGTAACTCTCTTTATAAGGCAGTTTATAGCTAAGCAACAAAGCTGCAAGGAGGAGACATAAAGCCTGTTTCATAAGCCATCACAAAGCCTCACATGTTGCCAAAGTCAGCCGTAGCAGGGCTTTTTCCCTGGAGTGGAATTTTTGCACTTCACGTAAGAGGGTGTGAAGTGCTGGGATTATGTATTTGCTTAAGCTTTGCTTTGAAAAATGTCTGAATTTTGTGCGCATGAAAGGAAATGACTGATAACATTGGCTAGAGCGAGACAGTGCAACCACACCCCTCCCTTTGGCAATCACCTCAGTCCTCACCAGCAGCACTCTGTGCTGTGCCAGTCCTGCTTTGCCACCCCCCAACTCTACCTGTGTACCTCACCGCCAGCGCTATTCAGCATCTGCATGCTGCAGCCCACGACCCTCATTCTCCTCCCCAGTAGCATCTCCTGCTATTCTAGTCCTTCACTGCACTCTCCGTCTTCAGGCACACAGACAGATTTCAGGTATTAAGCGCCTGATCTTGGAATCATAGAGTAAGTGAACAATAACTTCCCCACCAGAATGGTAAGGGCAGTTAACTTCTGCTGTTTCTACCAACTACTGATAGCAAGGTCACCACAGCACTCTTTGTCCCATGTCTGATATGGAGAGGGTCAGATGGTACTCGCCAACATCCCCAACAGCGATTCAAAACTATTGCCAGAGGGAGAGGGGAAACAAATATGGCTCGGCAGTTTCATGACAGCCTTCAAGTGCTTGAGACTCCCTTGGTTTAGCAACAAGGGAGTCTGAGGAGTCCCTCAATTTGGCAACAGCAGTGTCTGTCCTGCTGTCAGAGGGGGAAGACATTCCAATCTGGGAATAATGTAGCTGACACTAGTTCAAGACAAGCAGAGGTTTCCATGAGTCTGGTCCACTGTCAAAGAGAGGAGAGAACTCCCTGTGTCTGGAATAACACAGGTTCTACCACACTGTCAGCAAAGGGCTCCTCATGACAATGTCCTCTGTGACAGTGATATGTGATTCTGACTGGGATTTAGGGCAGTCATCTTGAAGTAGACTCTAGCAGGCTCCCTGATATTAGTCATAAGTTTGCCTGCAGACATGGGAAATGCAAACCTAGACAAGGTGAGAGAGTTGAGTGGGAAAAGATCCCCACTCAATTCTCGCACCTTGTCTGGCTTTGCGTTTCCCACATTTGACTCTATTGTGAAAAGTCACCCAGCTGTACTCCAAAGCCTTTCAATTTGGGAAACCAAACTGTAGGAGGTTTTCCTGTTCTGTTTGCATTAGATTGTGCTGCTATATGGGGGCGGGGGTCTTTACAGCAGATATCGCACTAATCCACGTGTATCTATGCCAAGACTGCAAGAGGACAATTGTCTTTGCAGAAGTTGATCCAAAATATTTTGTTAGGAAACCATGTCCCCAAGAAAAGCCTGTGAGGTTTTATTTTCAACAAGTGATTGCATGTATTGGCCAGTGTGGGTCTATTGGCACAGTGTGCTGTACTGTGGGGGTGATGCATTGTGTCACATGTTTTAACCTGACCTTGGACAGGAAGGAACCCGTAGCAATCAAACTATTCAGCTTAACTGGAACATCCTGCAGACATAACTTTCAATAAACAATCTGAGGATCTTCTTTTAAACTCCAGTGTCTGTCTCCTGCACTTAGGGTGCTCAGTAGAAAGGTATTCAGCTGATGCTGTGGGGGAGCAGAAGCTGATGTAGTACATCTTTCCTGCTCTCACCCCAGTGAAGTCCTACTGTACTCCTGCTGGAAAGAAAAGCTAAGTAGGCATCTGACTTTGCACAGCTGCCTGTAAACAGCATGGATGATAAAACTACCATGTCAGTGTTTGCTGGCCACCTTTAAGCCCTCCTGCACCTGCAAATAAAAAACAAACAAACGCCATTTACTTCAGCAGCATGTGCTGAATTGTCTGGCTAACCAGGCTGAGAGTGGCATTGAGCACGTTAAGTAATAATCTATTTTTGAATTTCTTTTTTGGTCCCCTGAATTCATTTGGGCCAGCTCCCACACTTCTGTGATGGCCCACAATTCATCATGTGATATGACAACTAGACTCCCAAGGTACCTGGATGGAGAGCATAGGGCCAGCCCATAGATGCAGGACAATGGAAGGTTTTTTAGCACAGAGGTTTGTAGTTTTGAAAATCTTGTAATTATTTTATTCCCTGTTGGGATCTAAAATACTTCAAACATCTTTCAAAACTGCATGCCAAAAATCTTCACTGAGCTGATGGGACTTGGCTCTATGCACCAGTGTAACTTCTTGGTACTGTAAGCTGTGATATCGCAATGCATTCTAGGAACTATCCAGAACGACTTCAGGGACCTGAAAAGGAAATATAGATCAGATTTTAGTACTCTGCATGTTTGCTCAATCCCATTGTAGGCTGGCTAAGCAGGAGCATTGACCTAAAGTGTTGCCTAAAGAAAATGGCTTGTTTCTTTAGCTTGCAGCTCGCCTTTAATGTGAGGTGAAGGGGTGAAACAGTGGTAGTCACAAGAAGAAAGAGTTGGTGTCTAATTTGCCCTCAGTTAAAGTTCACAGGGGAAAATAATCCTGTCACAGGACATCACAGTACTAAATTCATCATGAAATAAGAGGAACCAGATGATTTGCATATGCTTTTCTGTGGTAGAGTTCCACCTAATCCCCAAGAATGGGGTTTGTTAATGGGAATGCTGACACAACCGGAACTTGTGCAGCAGTAGCAGGCACTGCCATGCAATGCTCGTTAATACTTTGCTCCCTGTCATTAGATTTCCTAAAATACACAGCTGTGGTGACAGGATGACTCTGAGGGTAGCAGTTAAGAGAGAGGCTGGCTTATGGCTGACTTTCTTCTACTAATCTAATCGCACTTGCAGGGTATTTTATGTAGCCAGAAACAATGTTTGGGATTTATTTATTATTAGGGAAAGAGTCCTCTGTAGAAAACTTCCCTTTCCCATATTTTCTCACAGGTTTACACTCCCTTCCCAAAGTTTCCATGTCACAGTGACTGTCCTTCATTTGAAGGGGATTGGATGGGACTCTCTCTAGAGCCCATCAGTACAGCTCCTAGAATCAGCTGGAGGAGTCACTGCAATGTGAGGTGAAGTACTTCTCCAGGGACTAAGCATGTTGCCTTTTGCAGCGCTTCCAGTCCCTGTTGATTTATTGAACAAGAGAACGCACTCAGGAATTGAATCTGAGCCTCATCTGGTAGTGCAGTATCACTCGTTACCTGTTAAACACCTATGATGTGCTTGATGTTATCCAAAAGGATACAGTCCCTGTTGTTATAGTTTATACCATCTAAGGTGTGGCCCCCATTACTGTAGTATCTGAGCGCCTCAGTCTTTAATTTATTTTCATAGTACCCCTGTAAGGTAGAGATGTTATCCCCATTTTACAGATGAGGAAGTGAGGCACAGGGAGACCAAGTGACTTGTGCAAAGTCACAGAAAGTCTGTGGAGGAGCATGCAATTAAACCCAGCTCTCCCAAGTCCTAGGTTAGTGCTGTAACCACTGGACCATCTACAGACATACAGCATAAATCAGGAAATCTAAGTATATCCCCTGGAGACCAACAAAATTGCAAGGATAACAACACATGGATGAGGCAAAGCATGCAAGGATCAACTATTTAATGTGAGGCTTATGCTCAGTTAAGTATACACTTGCATATTCCAAGCATGATGCTTGCACTTCTACTGGTATGGAACGATTAACTTTAAAAAATCCTTTCCTCACATAGTTGCCAGGCATAATTAGAAGCAAGACTGGAGAATACAAGCTCTTTGGAATGAATTTTGCTTTATATAATATTGCTGTTACACAGTAAAGTACTGCTAGATCACTGCAGTGATAGGTGCAATATAAATATGGAGAGATAAGACAAATAGAAAAGTCACTGGATGACGCAGGAGATGGTTTTATCTCAGAGCATAGCAAGACTTTTTAAAATGTGTTTTTAAATGGGAGTGTGGCAGCGGTGGTTGGGCCTGGGCCAAAGTCTGTTGAAGTCAACGGACTCTGGTTTAGGCCCTTAATGAAGGAAAGGTGGCATTTGGTGAGTTTTAAGAAAGAACTTAGTTAAGGAGATATGTGAATGAAAAATGAATGTAGACATGGACACTGGGATAATAGGGAGTTCCAGTAATAGGGTGCAGCACGGGACAAGGTGTGCAGGACACTTCCCAGTTGACACAATGACAAGAATTCATCGCTTTTGGGGTTTGTTTTGCTTAGATATTTCCAGTTATAAAAGAGGGAGAGAAACTTCAAGCTAGCAAAACTGATGTCTTAATGATGATGCAGTAGAAAGATAGGGGGAAAAGGATAGTGGCAGATCTATAGGAGATACTGAGGTTCAATGCATTGAGCATCTACTTCTTGTGAACGTAAGTTCCAGTGAGGATTTGATCTCAAGTGAGTTTTGTGAGCTTGGGTAGTTAGGGGGAGAAACCTCATGAAATTGTGATTCCCCTCATCCTCCTGTGTTTCTGTCTAAATTTTGGCCACCTGTACAGCTGGTCAAAAAAAACCCAGCAGAAAAGCATCATGAAAATTTAGCCAAATTCTTTTTGTTGACGACATTTTCCAGAAAACGGTCATTGAAATTTCCAAATCTAATCTTATCTATCTATATAAAATCTTCATTCTTAGGGGTTATTTTATTCACATGACCCCACACGCTTCAGCATGATAGGTAGTTTGCTTTCAGGAGTGCTGCTGATCCAGACTGGGGAAGGTCAAATTAATTTCTGCCTAATTTTAAATCCACTTGAACATTTGTAGGTTCAAAAGTTCTATCAAACTTGAACATAACTGGGCTTCCACTTAAGAGAGGATGTGGGGGCAGGGAGCAGAGCAGATGGTAGAGAAATTCTACAGGAACAATAAAGAACCTAGATGCTATTACCACCAATATGGAACCCATTTGTACTAGTTTGGGGAGAGGGCTGTTTTTTTAATACATAGCATAGTTTCTTTAGCTAGAGAAATATTGAGCCCCAGCTGAAGTCATGAGCAGCTGTGAGTGCTTAACATATCCAAAAATCAGCCCTTGTGGCAGGTGCTTCAAATTGGGCACCCAAACCGAAACCTCCAAAATAATGGAGTCTGGAAAATTTGGGCCTTATTTATTTAAAAAAAAAAAAAATCTCCCTTGGGGAGAGAGAAATGGTTTAAATTACAGGAAACTAGATTCATAAACTCAGACTAATTGTGCAGCTTCCCCCAGAAATAGCTTGGGACGTTTGTGAACCTTGGAAGCCCAGGAGATGTGGCCACTTCTAATCAGAAGTGAGGTGAAGTGGGAAAGGTGGTGTGCTAGTGTTGGATAGTAATGGATTGTTGTAGGTGAAGATGCTAATGTATTGGCCGACTTGTGGGGGGAGGCTTGCAAATCACATTACCTACAGTATGCCAGAGTCCAGCTACTAGCATCTGTTCCTCACTTTCAAGAGTACTACAGTTCACTGCCCAGAATCACAGCCTGCTGATACCATTAAGGGATACAAAGCAAATTCCAGCAGCATGCTGAAAAACTGTCCTCCTTAGAGTCTAACATGTCTTTATTTATTCCTTCAGATGTACAGGGGCTTTGACAAGATGCCACAAGTTCAATATATCTACACAGAAGCCTCAGAGAGTCTTTGTGGGGTCAAGCTAGAGGTCAATAAGTACCAGTATCTGATTACAGGTAAGGGACTACTGGGGTGTCTTATGATCAGGACCTTTTTTGTCTGTATCTGTACTTGCCAAACACTCACACGGAATGGGGGCAGGTAGGTCAGCTCTATAAGCAGGTTCTTAAAGACAGTGCATGTCTGCTTCCCTGTACTGAAATATCACATAAAACGTAGAATGCAGTGACAATCAGTCAGTAGCATTCCAATCTCCGGGGATTGTCTCTCCATCAGTAACACATTCCTCTACTTTTCCCCCCCTCCCCTTAAATCTCTCCAGTTTACAAACCACGCAGCCAGTGTTGAGCATTTTTTGTGACAATACGTGGTTATTAATGCATAACTGAGCTGGTGTGCCCACTGCAGTACAGGCCAGTGAGATTAGAAACAGCAAGGCACCGCTCTGCTGAGCTAGAAATAGAAAAGCCTGTTTGGACCAAGTGAGTTGTTAAGATGAGGATGCAAGGGGAATTGGGACAGAGCACATGCCAAGTCCTGTTTCTCTCAAGGTGCTAGCGCTCTTACACCTTGCCCTGTTGCAGAGGGGAATGTGATGGTTGTGCTGGGGATTCTGACATGCTGCTGGGGATTCTGACAGCTGGTACAAAGATTCCAACTTGTGGAAGTGCCATAGTTTCACTCACTAACCCCCCAGCTAATAGAAGAAAATAAACTGATTGCTGAACTGTGACTAAAAGCATACACGTGGGATTATGAACATTAGCAGGCTCAGGAAACTGACTGACTGAACTGAGAACAACTAAATTGTGTCCCTTTCTGTGTTTTCCAGGCCGTGTGTATGAAGGAAAGGTTTATACTGGCCTGTGTAACTTGTATGAGAAATGGGACCGACTGACTCTATCCCAGCGCAAAGGACTAAATCATCGTTACCACCTCGGTTGTGGCTGCAAGGTATGTATTGCCTCCAGTAAGATGTAATTAAAAGCCTAATCCTAGAACTGTGTTCATTGCAGCTGATAGTTCACCTGCATTATTGCTATCAGGGAAGGAATCAAAGCGCTAGAGGTTTTTTTTACAGAAGGCAAAACAAGACAAATTTTGCCTCCTCACTGGTTTCACAACATAATGAACAAGTTAAAGTTTTCTGCCTGTGTCTTTTCTATGAACTTTTTGGTATAATTTGGCAGGGTGGGAGAGAATCTCTGAAAATTTCACAAACATTATTTTGTAGATCAGTGAAATTGTGTGCAGAGCTGCTGGGAAAATGTGTTGAGGTTTTTTCCCCCTGAAAACATTTTGAGTGGTTAAAAGTTCAGAACTTATCCCTAAGACTTTGCACTCAGCTCCCATCCTGCAAATACTTAGGCACATGCTTGATTCTAAGCCAGAGGCTCCGAACCTGGAACACAGCAATAAGGTTATCAGGGGAGCACAAAGATCTGATGGAGCCACTCTGAAAGGCTGGAGTTAAGAGGGGGTTCTGTCCAGCGGGGGAAGTGGACAGGGCACTGTGCAGGTGGTCTCGACTGCCAGGACCAGGCTCCCTGCCTGCCTTGCTCCTTCACCGCTGCAGCAGTCACAACCCAGCAGTTATGCTCCTCTGCTGGGGATATTAGCAGAGACTCTGTGAGTGGGGAACGAAAGGCTATGCTCCGGGAGTACTGACCACCTGCCAGAGAGAGCCCCTTCCTGACCCCGGCCCTTCAGCGCAACTCCAGGGCACACAGCCCCATCCACTTGCCTGGCCAGACACAGCCTGCGCAAGGAAACCACAGACAGGGCCGCACTCAACGGCTGGAGTCAGCAGAGGACCCTGTCCAGCCATCTGTCCACTCCGGTCCTGACCCTGGCACTTCAGTGCTGCCCTGCACAGGCAGGGAGCTGGGTCCCAGCAGCCAAAAACTACCTGACTGCTGCAGGGAACGGAAGGTTTCCTCAACTGCCACATGGCTAGTGCCCCCCACCCCTGGCCCCCATGGGTACAGGATTCTCCTTCCCCATAAGCCTGCTAAAAAGAGGGGTGTGGGTATGGGACATGAATCTCTGAAGTGGGGCTCAGCAAACAAAAGTTTGGGAACCTGTGGATTACAAGTCCTGGTGGGGGATGGGGAGTGACAAATCAAGGAATGGTAAGCTGGGTGTGACTGGAAACGTTTGCGCACCATTGCTCTAAGCACACGAATAGTGCCATTGACATTAGTGGCACTGCTTGTGTGGGCAAGTTAAGAACACGTTTAGGTGTTTGCAAGATCAGGGCTTAATTTTTTAGTTAGCACCTTAGTGCTTAAAAAATTTCAAACACACCAGTTTCTGATTTAAAACCAAAGTCCTATAAAACGTGCCTTCCATTTACCCCCTTTGCACTTGCTGATTATAATTGCAGATTAAGCCCTGCTACTACCTGCCCTGCTTCGTGACCTCCAAGAACGAGTGTCTTTGGACAGACATGCTCTCCAATATCGGCCATTCAGGGTCCCAAGCAAAGCACTATGCCTGCATCCGACAGAAGGAAGGATACTGCAGCTGGTACAGAGGATGGGCGCCTCCTGATAAAACTATCATCAATGCCACAGATCCCTGAGCACAGTCCCTTCCCCATTTCCTTTCCTCCCTCCCTTGTGGCTGAGCTTCTCTTGGACAATAACTCCTACCAGATCATGATGATGACAATGAAATTAGTGCCTGTTTTTCTTGCAAATTTTAGCACTTCGAACACTTAAAAAAAGAAAAAGTCTATGCTGTCATACTGAATTTGTTTTTAATCACCTTTTTCGATTCTGAGATCACCCATTTCAGTCAGATTATATTTGTCTGGGAACGTTCGTTTGCACACCGGAAAAAAAATTATGGAGCCCTTGCTCTCTCTATGTATCATTATCTATAGCAATATAATCTATATTTTTTTAGGAAAACAAAAATATAAAAACTATCCCAGTTGGGCACTATATCCTTCTTCCTTGCCCTGGCTTCCCCAAACCCTCTTCGCACACACACTGCACAAATTATGCAGATTTAAGCTATTTGAAGGGGAAACTGGTTTAATTAACTAGATCAGTAAATAAAGCAAAAAAACCCCAAACAAACCCCTATTCAAATGGGGAATTGGACGTGTGATTGGCTCCAGAAGTGGGAGAACTCGGTTGGTGTTAAGACACTGCATTGTCTGGTAAAAGCACCAGGGACTGAATGTCCTCCTTGCTTATTCAGTCACAGTGTGAAGGATAGAGCACACTGGAAGTTCTGGGGTTCCATAGAACACGAAGAGAGGTTTATTATTATCGTGAGGTTTTTGAAATAAAACCTGCATCCTGGGAGGTAATTCACCTAAGTAAGTACAATACAGCAGGTGAAATGCTGAGTTTCTCTCTTTTAAACAGAGTTGCTCTTGAAATTTTTGCAGTTTAGCTCCCACAGAAAAATTCCATTGTGAACATCATAAACCAAACAAATGAAAATTATCAACTCTAAAAATAAATCAGTCAATCCCACGGCGAGGGGGAAAGGGGAGACTCACTAGGGTTTATTGCTATAAGAAATCTATTGCCAAAATAGTGTTTAGCTGAAGTAAGATGTATATACACGTAATGACATAAGCTATTTTTGACAGGACGTGGAATTATTTGGTGTTATAAACAATGAATGCTTTGATTGTGTTTTAAAAGAAATCTTGACATTCCGAGTCAGTGATTTATTTTTGGTAAAAGATATTGAAACTCCAGTGTACCTGCAGTAGAGGTTAGAATCACTGTTTCGTGCCCCACCCTGCCCCCAACCACCATGACTTACCTCCTACAGCTACACTGGCTGCAATTGTATATGTAGTGAAAGCAAAAGCTGGTGGAGGGAGGCAAGGAAAAGCAACATCCTGACAGGCACTTCCTAGAACTTTACATTTGAGCTGTCCAATGGATTCCAAGTGGGTCAAGTGCTCTGTTTCCCCCAAGCTGTTGTTAACGTAGCTGTGGGCACATTCTTATTCCACGTCCTGAAGTGAGATGGGGGAAAGGGATGGTCCTGGCTTCACTGTCGACTGGAGGATTTTTTGGTTCTGTTTTGTTTTTATTAAGAAAACTATAATATAAATTTTCTTATTAAATAAAAATATTTTAAGGTTTAATGTTGATGAGGAGGGGTTGCTGACAAAATGGGTGACTGTATATTTTACTGAGTGTACGGGGGGAGGAGGGCAACACTTAACAACATTATTTGTTTTTGTTTTTTATTATTATAATTATTTATCTTACATAGACATGTATCTTCAGTTCATTCCACTTAGAGCTGCTGTCAGCAAGAAAAGGCATTGCAGTCATGCTAGACAGGGACAATATAGCATTCTCTATGCAGTGATCTTTTCAATTTGTTTGGGGCTTCTTCGCCATTATGAGAGGGGAAAGAGTGTATTCTAGTCTTGGGATTGATGCATCAATCATTTTGGGGCTTCTTTGACTTCAGGGGAGCTATGCTGATTTACACCAGTTGAGGATCTGGCCCATTTAATAGAAGCCCCTTACAGCAGAATGCATGTGATTAGCTTAAATGGCATTTTCATAGAATTATTTGATTAGAAGGGACCTTGGGTGGAATAGTCAACAATGCCTAAGTGGTTTAGGAGCACACAGCTCACTGAAAGTCAATGGGACTTGTGCCCAGGCACACTTAAAAATGCCACCCCTTGTTGCTATCCTTAAATTATGGACCTGATCATCAAAGGGGGAGATTAGGTTGCTTTTTAGGGTCAGGTGCTACATCATCCTGCTTCCCTTTTGAGCTGGGCATCATCAAGTTGGGCCGTGAGCACAGGGGACCAATTTCTGCTCTGTTCCATCTGTGCAACCGCAGTGCAGTCACAGGTGTCAGAGAGCAGAATTTACCCCTGCATTTCTAGCAATGATAATGCCACCAGTGCACTTCACAACTTGTGGAGTGACCATCACTAGAGCTAATCAAGGCCTGACCCAACTACCATTTGATCAAAGGTGCTTTAGCAATCATTAAATCATTGAGCACAGCCATTTCTCCGAGCTTTGGAAGGCGAGATGAAGCTTGTCATGCAATGAGTTGTCAGACGTTGATTTGGATTTCTATTAAACTGTGGCTCTGTATTTTACCTGCTCACTGACTGTATAATTTAAAATCATATAAATAGCTGAAACATTACAGTATTGCAATCACATTATTGTGAAAATCTTTATTTTGTTGCTACAAAGATGTGTGTTCCTAAGTAGGCTGTAATGTATCTATGCGCTTTGTAGAGAAACAAACAAAAACCCCAACCCTGCTACCAGCAGTGTTATTTTCCTAACCAGATTTCCATTTTATATTGCAGAGGGTAAAAATATGTTTGACATGCAGACAGCTAGACTGGTAAAGGCGGGGGCTTGGAAAGCAACCCTCTCCCTTGCCAAATAAAGATGCAGTCATAGAGGCTTTTTAAAATGTGGAACCAAATAGAGGGAAAGAGTGAGGGGGAAGAAACCAGCACAAAATACATTTTTTTGGGGAGGCTTCCAGGTTTTTTTAAATGAATACTATCAGGGACAGATATTTTGTGGACTAAGCTTGCCTTGGAATCAATAGGTGTCTTTCCATGGACTTAAATGGGCTTTGGGGTCAGGCACCTAAATTTCTGCCTCTCTATCTACTCTTCCCTTCCCTCACTGAAGATCACTCCAGCCTGCCAAGGGACAACACCCTCCTGGATTACAACAGGCCCTGCAGGATGTAGGCACTCTGTCTGGAGGAGAGGAGTAAAGCTCCCGTCAGGGTGTTGTTTTCCCAGATTAGCGGGGGTTGCCATTGCCGTTGCACAAATATCTTGCTGCTTCCCCTTTGTTGCTAAGGTTGAAATGTGGCCTCTAACATCAGCACCAGCCATACTCTGTGCTGAAAGGGATGCTGTCAATGGGACTACTTACATCAGTGTCTGTACCATCAGGGCCTTAGTTTTTAAACAAACACACTTTTGCTAGGTTTTAAATAAATCAATATTATTAAAACTACATTTTTACAAACCTAATTCACTTTTCCAGACTATTTTTGCAGTTTCCTAATTTCCGTTTTGTTGCCTCTTCTCTGAGCTTGGACAACAGATCTGTCAGTTTCACTTTCAAATCCAATTTCACTTTCCAATTCTCATCACAAGCACAGTACTGGAATGTTCGGACTGCCAACTCTGCCTGGGGGCTCTTTGCTTCTTGAAAAATGGTTTCCTTTTAAAATTTGGAGTGGGGTGTTTTTTCTCCTTTTTCTTTAGGGAAAAGGGTGGAGGGGAGTTATCTGTATGTGGAATTTCCTGTGCAGAGTCCCACTGAAGTTAATAGGGCTCTGTGCAGACAGAGCAGTCCACCAACACAGTGTAAACTGCAGGATCAGGGCCTAATTTTGGTGTGCCAAACATGACCCTCATCTACACTTTGAGCTGGGGTGTAATTCCCCACTCGAGTAGACAAACCCACTCTAGCTCTGATTGGCAGTGCCAGTGGAGGGACAGGTTAGTCACTCCTAGTATGTGTCTAGTGTCTCAGAGGGATGCTACTTGGCAGCTAGCCCCTCCTGCCACTCTGGCTACACTCTGTTATTAGCACATTAGTACTTGCAACCCCAGGTCAAAGTGTAGACATACCCTTAATATGTCTGACTCATCAGCGTGGATCTTCCACACTCACCAGTGGGGCAAAATGCTACCTCAGGGTGCCCATGAACACACCACTTTCCAGGAACTCTAAAGTGAAGGCACAAGGAAGAAAGAAGTTCCCATTGTTTCACAGGACTTTCCAGGTATATTTCTTCAACATTTTTCAGAATATTTTAAGTCTATGAATCCTTTGTATTTTGGAAGGGAGGGACAAAATTCAAAGGATGGCGCAAACTTTTTATTTTATTTTATTTAATACATATATAAAAATGTAGGTCAAAGTTTTCTATCCACCAAATCTTGACAAAATCCTTAAAAAAAACCCACTAAGCCTATGTCGCTGCTTTTGTTGTAGTGGCTTTATCAGTATCTCAGTCACTCCCTTTTCTTCACTGAGCCCCTCTGCTGTTCCTGGTAGTCAGAGAAATTTGGGGAAAGGAAATGAAGCCTGGGAGAAAATTTTCTCCCGAAGAAATATATTTGTTGCTAAATTCTGTAACACTGTTTTATGGTTTTCCTCCATGTTATTTATAAATTTTATACTCAATGAATGTATATTGTCTTTAAGGTAATACTGCATAATGTTCAATTTTTATAGTGTCTTTTTCTTCTAAGCAGTAAAGTGGTTTTATTTCTATCACAGACATTCTGTCTCTGCCTTGCTTATGTTAGTCAGTCTCTGTTACTTTAAACACATACAACTGGTACCATATAGTTTAACATACACAAATGTTGCTTTTTCATTGGATCTTATGTGAAAATTAAGCCTCTGTCAATTGTTCTACTCCTGAGGACTCCCTCAACAATCCCTCTCTCTTTTTAAAGCAAACACTCTCCTGAGGTTCTGTTGTTGGGGTCACCAGTTCCAAGATGGAAGAAAATCCCCTTTGGAGCCTGAGAGTTCCACTTTTTAGATGGCCAGATGGGATCACTACAGAGCAATGCAGCCACTATGGCTGAACACGTAACAAACACTGACTGCTCCTGAGGAGAAATATTTACACTGGTTGTGTGTGCAGCACAGGGTGCTGTTGCTATTACAACAGGCTGCTCCACAGAGGCTAGTTTGAAGCACATTTTATCCAATATACCAGTGTTTTCATGGACTTACTGCCCATAATGAGAGGAGGTGGAGGTTACTCAATCAAATCCTTTCCATTGTGAAAATCTCAACCCTTGTAATTTCTCTTTAACATGAGTAGTTATGGGTAGTCGAAAAATTCTCCATCAAAGCTTTCTTTTTGACAGAAAGTCAGCTGTTCAACTACATTAATATTTTCACAGAGGAGTGACAATTTTCCCTCACAATTTTGAGTTTTTATTAGAAATATTTGGTTTTCCTGCAAAAAGTAGAAATTTTCCATTGAAAATGTTGACAAAAAATTTTGGGGGGGGAGGGAGGGGGTGTCAAAAGTTTCCATCACAGAACCCTCCTTAAACACACACACACCATTTTCTGACCTGCTTTATGACTAGTCCTCATCCATACCCCTTTCCAAATAGAAGCCTATTAGCATTGGGGAAAAGTTTGGATATGCAAAGATGCGTTTTCTGATCTGACAAAACTGTACTAGTGAGGGAAAGTTACTTTAAGAAGAGATTTAATTCAAGTATCTTCATAAACACTTCTATAGTGCCTGCCATACAAGGGTCACAAAATGCTTTACAAACACCAACAAACTTAGTTCCACAACACCTCAGTGAGGTGGGAAAGCATTATTATTCCCATTTTACATATGAGCAAGCTGAAGCAGATCAATTAAGTGACTTGCCAAGGTCACAGCAGATGTGTGTGGCAGAGATTGGGAAAAGCACCCAACATTGCTTCCATCACATACATGCCCTTTTCTAGTCTCTATTTGCACGAATGGGATTTTGTTTGCCTAAATGTTTGGGGAGTAGCTACTCTTCATAAGGATACCCATATTTGTACATGAACAATTGTGTTTGCGTACAAATGAGATTATTGGCTCTTCATTATTTGCAGTATTGTCAAACAGGTCAGAGACAACGTGCAACCATCCTTCACACCTGGGGCCAATAAGAGGACCCTACATGTGGCTGTGGCCAAAGACAGACAATGTCACATCACTGGTGACTGCCCTCTGGCCAACCCGATAGTGGTCTGCGGGCTCTGCACTTCACTGACAAGGCTGCCGCAAACTGGCTTGGCAAGTTCCGCATCCAATAAGAAGTTATTTGCAATTTGTTATTCTCCTGTTTAAAAGGGTTTCATCGTTCTTTCCAGGAGTCAAAACAGTTCTACAATGCTACCCATTGGCTGGAAATTGCTTATCTAAACTATCTCATGAACAACAAATACGTTTGGATGAGTCTACAAATGATTTCCAAACAGAAGGGGAAAAAAATAAAAGCTATATCTGTCAGATAATTTATTTGCAACAAACAGTTTGATCAGCTCTGTTAGAAATACAAATCCTGTTGTGAGAGCAAGGCAAATTCACATCTGTACTGGAGCATCTTGGATGGCAAAGCGTCCTCATAATTTGTTGGTATTACGATTAAATGAAATCAGGCCTTACAAATTAAATTGACTTAACAAACAAGGACAAACTGTAGCCCAGTGTAAAGAACACACCATTCTGCTATCTATCTGTCTTAGAAATTTATCTGGCCCCCATGACTGTAGCATCTGAACACCCCACAATCTAACATTTCTCCTATGAAGTAGGGCAGTGCTATTATCACTATGTTACAGATGGGGAATGGAAGTATAGAGGGAATAAGGGCCAGAATTTTAAAGATATTAGGTGCCCACATATACAGATGCTTTGTGGGATTTTCAAAAGCAGCTGGAGACTTTTTTGGGATTTTTGAAAAAATCTCACTAGGTATCTACTTACATGTTTAGGCACCTAAATACCTTCAAAAAATCTGCTCTCAAAGGTCACACAAGAAGTCTGTGGTAGATCAGGGGCTCAAACCCAGGTCTCCAGAATCCCACAGTAGCATCCTAACAACTGGACGACAGAAGCTCTCTTTAGGCCCTTGCCTAAAGACCAAGGCAAGAGCTAGAAATATTGGACAAGCTGGAAAGATATATGGTAAGAATGTCTAATCATTTGCAGTTTTTTATTCCAAAGTGAACCTAAAAAACTGCTGATAATGCAAGTGGGTGGCCTCCTTTGGATCACGTGACCTGTTTTCTAGGTCTGCAGCCACCAACCATAAAAAACTTTCCTCTGATTATACGGCAGGCTAATCAGCCACATCATCTATGGGCCCAGCCACCCCACAGTCAGATACCATAAAAAAGCCTGACATTTTGACCATTAAAAGAACCAAGTGTGTAATAAAGCAACACTGGAGCACAGCTCAATGGACTCAAGCACTTTCCAAGACACGCATCACTCTCTCTCTTTGAGTACATATATATATTACCACCCAGCTTTGCTAACAATTATGGAGGCTTTTTTCACTCTGTCAGACGTTTATGAATATGGGACGTATCTTAGAATTATAGATATGCAGGTTTTCAGTATACCATAGAAATGCAGGGCTGGAAGGGACCCCCAGAAGTCATCAAGTTCAGCTCCCTAAGCTAAAGCAGCACCTAAGTAAACCTACACCATCCCTGGCAGGTGTTTGTCCAACCTTTTAAAAAAAATCTCTAATGGTGGGGATTCCACAACCTCCTTTGGAAGCCTATTTCAGAACTTAACTATCCTTATCATTTCAAAGTTTTTCCTAATATCTAACCTACATCTCCTTGCTGCAGATTAAGCCCATTAAATATTGATCTACATACTTAAAGGGAAGATATCAATCAACATCCATAACACATAATTTTCTTACTGCGATTGATAATTTGCATTTAACAAAAGCATATAAAAAATCCCAAAATAGAAGTTTGATAACTGCTGTTATTGGATGTCATTCATTTAAAAGATTATCTACAGTACCTAACCCTTATATCACCACTAATACTACCAATGAAGATTAAGAAAGAACCCAACTGGTTGGACTAGGGAAGTTGGTAGCATTGATCTTATTAACAAAATTAAAACAGACAAAAAATGGTGGCGGGTCCTATCTGAATACTATTCCACTTGTCTTATGCATTTACAGCCCTGATCTACTTAGCTGGAGTAGGCCTTCTAGCCTTATGACCTCTCAGTTGCAGGGCTGTGTACTGGCCTATAAGAGGGATTTAAGTCAGGAGATATTGTATTAGGAGTGTCATATGAGTAATTGAGAGAGGACACCAATTTTCATCTCAAAAGCAGGGCTGCCCTTAAATTGTCTGTGTGTGAATCCCACCAGCCTTGCAACTGAATTCAAAATGAACCCAGCTATACAAACTAAAAGGCAGGCGATAATTCAGACATGGGGTCAGGGCTCATAGACAGAAAAGACCATTGAGATTTTTGAGGGAGGCAGAAGGAGTCATAGGTTCATGGATGCATGTTGACCGTCAAGTTTCTCAAAGGGCCAGGCTAAGAGTAGTCATGCCTCTGCCTAGGGTCACTTGTAAGGGGAAAACAAAAGAAATACAGCTGAGTTATACCTGCTCCTTCCCCAGGTTCAAAAGGAGACAGCTGCCCAGCACTCTTAGGAAGTTGCTGCCTTTAAGGAGCCCATGGAATGCTTAATTATTGTGCAGGTCTAAGGTACAGTATGTACTAGTTCACAGATAGGATGAATAAACACCAAGAGCAATTATGCTACAGCAAATTACACAAACCAAATAGAATAAAAGCTAATCTTCACAAACTCAAAACCACTTCATTTAACAATCCAACAGCTGGTAAGTATATCTAATAGATGGGAACTAATGTCACAGATGAGACAAATCAAGAGCAGCACAGCACTCTCTTATAAGAAACTTCTTCTGCACCCCACACCTCTGATTTTTCTGCTCTTCTGTTCATTAGGAAGAGTGCAAAGACCAACTCAGCCACATCCAAACAGACCTTTTCCCTGCCTATGACAACCAGAGTCAACAATTTATTTCTTACTCTTTCACCATATGTGTCCATCCAAGAACTGAGGAAAAAGAAGAGGCACCCAGGGCAGTGTTCTATGCCTGCTATTTTTCTGCTAGGAATTTATTGTCTGTAAAGTCACAGCTATTGTTTCAATTGCCAAGGCTCCCAGAGTGAGAGACTCCTTCCATTCCTAACCACAGATTCGCTGCATCTTCCCCAACTAGATCATCATCAAAATAAACAAAGGACACTTACCATCTGCTTATGGCTTGGGAAGAATGTTTGCTCCACAAGGGGGAACTTCTCAGGACCCAGCGAGTTGAAGATTTTAATTAGCTGAGAGAACTAGAGAGAGAGAGCAAATGAATCTGTTTATTAGACAATAACCCAGTGCTTTTAAAAAGTGCTGGTATGAAGGGTGGCAGGGGGCAAGGGAATCACATTATCTTCTCCCACCCACCTTTCTGCAATTGACAATGGTGAAAAATATGGGTATAGCATGCTAAGCTATCACTCTCTCTCACTGGGTGCATAACACCCAGGCCTCTTGAGAGAAGGGAAGGAGTTAAGTGAAGAGGCTGGAAGTGGACCAGCTTGCATTCAATTACAGATCCACTATAAACAGGCTTAGCTTTCACAGTATAGAAGGGCTGAGAGAAAAGAGAGAGCAGCTCATCTTGACAGTCTGGAGGAAAGGGCTCAACACACACACACAGGACAGAAATAAGTAGTACCACTCATGTATAGCAAGAAAACAAAATAAAGCTCTCTCCACCAATCCTTTATTTGGTTGCATGGAGATGTTTCTTAAAAGATCTGAGTAATCAAAAGAGACACTCACTAGACAGAGAGAGTCTTCTCCAGCAGTGGCTCTCAACCTTTCCAGTCTACTGTACCCATTTCAGGAAGCTGATTTGTCTTAAGTAACCCCAAGTTTCACCCAACTTAAAATCTACTTGCTTACAAAATCAGACATAAAAATACAAAAAAGTGTCACAGGACGCTATTATTGAAAAATGCTCACTTTCTCATTTTTTACCATACAATTATAAAATAAATCAATTGGAATATAAATATTGTACATTCATTTTAGTGCATAGTATATAGAGCAGTATAAACAAGTCATTGTCTGTATGAAATTTTAGGTTGTACTGACTTTGCTAGTGCTTTTCACAGCGCCTCTTGTAAAACTAGGCAAATACCTAGATGAGCTGATGTACCCCCTGGAAGACCTCTGCATACTTCCAGGGGTACACATACCTTGGTTGAAAACCACTGTTCTACACTATCCAATTTGAGTGCTGGGCAAAGAAAGCATGAACCTGATGTCTATCATATAAGCATATCTTGTGACTAGATTCACCTGAGAGGGTCTGTCACCAATCTCACATGCATGCAGCATGATGCACACAGAATGAAATAGAGAAGGGTTCATCTCTTACTTCCCCATTTATCTTGGAGTTCTGATGAAAGTATTTTGTGCAAGTCTATTAAGTACCTTCATTTGGATCCCCTTCGCAGAATTGCAATCACTGGGCCACCTTAGCAAACATTTCTGTTTACTAAATTTAATCTTGCACTTCCTGGTGAAGGGAGATCATTTTGGAAATTAAAGGATGATTCCTGTATGAAAAAATACTGCCAGTTTGTAAAAAAAAAAAAACAGTCTGAAGGGCATGTGCCAGACACAGGCCACATACTGAAATGGCAGCTGCCCTTAGATTTGTAGACAAACACAAAGATTTCCATTTCTAAATTGTGTGGGATGAAATTCAGTGTTTGAGAAAATCCAGAAATCTTCCATTGGTGGCATAATCACATCACTAGTACCACCACCCCCTCGCACACATCAGCAGATAAGAGGAAAAATTTCACGGCTAGAATAATTTTTGTTGGCAACAAGGGCGTTGATCTAGAGGAAAGAGAACAGATTGCGTCTCTTAACTACTTGGACTACCCCTGCACATCCCAGAGAAACAAAACAAAACACTGTTTTGACTAGCAGAGTGAGAAAACAGAACTTAAAAGTTACACAGAGTGAAATGGAGACACAGAGAGAAAGATCAACACACCGGCGAGAGAGAGAAATGCGTCACAATGGGTGCACACACAGCACATGCAGATCTACAAACAGACGCTGTATACATGTTACTCTAGGAAAATAACTAAAGCTACTGAATAATTGTCTGGATGACATATGGTATATTTGCTTGTAGTTTGCCTTCTTTTTGAAGCATTAGGAATCGGCCACTGCTGTAGTAATGGGTGTGATAAACATGTGCTGGAAAAGGACTGAACTATAACTATTTTTTGCCCACCCTCACCATTATAAGATGGGGCAGAATTGCAAAAAATTTACATCTTTCATATTGACCTCAGTAGCAAATGTTACATGTGTGATCGGCACGATACTGTACAAGAGACATCAATGGATTAACCTAGTACAGCAACTCTTATCTTCTTGTTTAGATAAGAACATAAGAATGGCCATACTGGGTCAGACCAATGTCCTGTCTTCCAACAGTGGCCAATGCCAGGCACTTCAGAAGCTATGAACAGAACAGGTAATCATCAAATGATCTATCCCCTGTCGCCCATTCCCAGCTTCTGGCAAACAGAGGCTAGGGACGCCATTCCTGCCCATCCTGGCTAATAGTCATTGATGGACCTATCCTCCATGAATTTATCTAGTTCTTTTTTGAACCTTGTTATAGTCTTGGCCTTCACAACATCCTCTGGCAAGGAGTTCCACAGGTTGACTGTTGTGTGAAGAAATACCCCTTTTTGTTTTAAACCTGCTGCCTATTAATTTCATTTGGTGACTCCTAGTTCTTGGGTTATGAGAAGGAGTAAACAACAACACTTCCTATTTACTTTCTTCACACTAGATACTTGACACATTGACAAGGAGAATATGTCAAGTATCCTCCCTGTATGTGTGTCCTAAATTGAGAGGAATGTTATTGTCAGCAGTTCAGATAGCTTATTCCTTGCACCTAAGGGCCCACCCTTACTCATGGTCAGTAGTACCTCAGTCCATAAGTAGGCCTATGGATTTCAATGAGACCACATACACTGAGTAGTCCTATGCTCTGTAAGCATGGGTGGCACAATCTGGGCCCTTACTATTCCTACACAATCATGCATGTGCAGTAGTGTGACATGCCTAAGCTTGCTGGACTCTTCTATGTCAAAAGTTACTGCAGTAGGAAGAGTTTAAAAAGAAAAGGAAAAGTGCATCTTAAGGCTGAGGGTAAAATTGTCTAACATGGCTAGGAGTATGTCTACACAGCAACTGGACACCTGCGGCTGGCTCATGCTAGCTGATTTGAGCTTGGGCTGCAGGGCTGTTTCATTGCTGTGTAAGCTTCTGGGCTCAGGCTAGAGCCCGGGCTCTAGGAATCTGCGAGGTGGGAGTGGGTTCCAGAGATTGGGCTCCAACCCAATCCCTGAAGCCTACACAGCAGTCAAACAGCCCCACAGCCTGAGCTCCGTGAGCCCGAGTCAGCTGGCCTGGGCCAGCCGTGGGTTTTTCTTAGCTGTGTAGACATACCCTGAGTTACCTAGGAGCCTAAGTCCCATTGAAAGTCAATTGCACTTAGGTCGCTAAGTGATTCGGAATTTTTTTACTCTGAGTCTTCAAATCTCCCCCACCCTGTGAAGAGGTGTAAGCTGTCTTACAAAATTGTGGATATTACTGCACATCATTACCCTGTATGAAATCCTGCAGTGTTTTGTACTGTAGCTTTTATAACACAGTGATTGTTACAATTGGCTAATGCATCTGGACTGGTGTGGTTACAGCAACACTTTTACATAATTCTGAGATCCTGAAAATTCATTTTTTTGTTTAGCCTCTGTGAAATAGCCCAAAACAGTTCAAGTTGTGCATGTTGTCAATGCAAATTAATTTTCCATCCCTCCAAAAAGAAAAATTGTTTTGAAATACTGAAAAATTCACAATTATCATTCAAAAATATGAGCGTACTTTTGAGCCTCAATTCATTCAACAGTTGGAGGAATCATTCCAGACTATTGAAGGAAAACCCCCACAAAATCGTGAAAGTTCCTCATGAAATTGGATCACGTTTGAAAATACAGACAAAATGTGAAAAACCTCATTTCTTAACATTACCTAATTTCATTTTTCACACATCCCTACAGTTATGTCTGTCCAGTAAGTTTCCAATAACCTTTGTCAAACAGATTCCTCCTTTCAGGATGCCTATTTTGCAATCAAAATGCAACAAGGGAAAAATATCTGTCCCCAAGAAAAGCTGTTGGTGTCTCTGTCTCCTAGCGATCATAAAATCTTTTGCTCTTACTGCCAGAGAAGCTCTCAATAAGCAAAGGCATGACAGAAACACATACCTGAGCCAGCTCCAACCAGATAAAGCCACTAGCTGTGCCAAATGCCAGTTTGATATCTTAGATTAAGTAAATTGCTTTGTGGATTTAGGGTTTTTTGTTTGTTTGTTTGTTTGTGTAACAGGGTGCACTCGCCTCTCCTGAGCAGGGCTGGATTAACGCAGGGGCTTTGGGGGCTGCAGCCCAGGGGGCCCTGCAGGCCCATGGACCAGATATGGCCTGCTACTTCTTTTCATCTGGCCCGCCGGCATGCCCCTGCTGCCCCTAGGCGAGGGGCGTTCAGGGAATCTTTGCGTGCTGTCCCCATCTCCATCCCCAGCTCCGCAGCTTCCATTGGCTGGGAACTGTGGCCAATAGTAGCTGCGGGGACAGCGCCTGCAGGCACGGGCAGTGTGCACCGGCAGAGCGGCCTGGCCCCTCTGCCTAGGGGCTGGACATGCCGGCCACCTCAGGGAGCAGAGCAGCATGGAGCCAGGGCAGGCAGGAATCCTGCCTTAACCCTGCAGCACCACCGACCAGGAGCCGCCTGGGTAAGTGCCTCCCAGCTGGAGCCTGCACCCTAACCCCCTACCCCAGCCCAGCACCCCGTCCTGCACCCAAACTCCCACCCAGAGCCCGGACCCCAAGCCTCCTGCCACACCTCAACCCCCTGTCCCATCCCTGGCCACAATCCCCCCATCTGCACCCTCACACACACCTCAATCCCCTGCCTCAGCCCATTCCCACACCCCAAACCCAAGGGACCCCACAAAATCTAATAGCCCCAGGCCCACAGGAAAGTTAATCCCTCCCTGCTCGCAAGCACCCCCCTGGCTGAGTGCATATGCCTGCACACACTCTCTGTGTTTGTGGTGGGTCTTCACTGACTCAGCCCTCCAGCCGAGTTACACACAGTCTGTGTAATAAAAGCAAAGCAAGCCCCTTCCGGGGTACAAGTCCAACAGGGGCCTCTCTCAGTGCCCTCTGTAACATCTCTC